TCTTCAGCTCGTTCCGCTTCCACAGGGCCAGGCGGGAGAATTCCTCCAGGGACGTCTCAAAGACCCGCTGGAAGTCCTCGGGTGACAGGTGCCGCTGGGGGGGAGGGGGAGGAAGAGGAGGGTGGTGGGAGGGCTCCGCTTGGCCCAGCCCCCACGGCTAAGCCTGGGCCAGAGGGGCAGGAGGGGGGGGGGCGCCATACCTCCAGTCGCGTCCGGTCCACTCCGGGCGGCAGTTTGACTCGCCCTCGGTTGGTCACCACCAGCATCTCGTAGGGATAAATCTTGGGCCAGGGAGAAGCAAAGAGCCAGCCGGTCACCAGGCCTGTGGAGGGAGGCCTGGCTCTGCGCCCCCCCCTCCCCTCCCCTCCCCGGTGGGCTCTCCCTCACCTTTTGCTCCAGCATGCTGGGGAGGGAGCTGCCTCTGTCCATGCGGCTTCTCTGGCCGTTCTGCAGGGGAAGCGGCAGGGGCCCCTGAGTCCCAGGGACCACAGGGTCCATCCCATGGGGCCCGGGTGGGGGTCCCTCCTGGGCCTGCCCCTCCCGAGTCCAGGGGGGCTGAGGGTGGGGAGAGGCGTCCGTGGGGCCTCCGGGCTGCTCCCTTCCCCCGTCAGGGTGCCTGCTCACCTGCAGTCCTGCAAGAGAGAAGGGAGAGTGAGGCTGGGGGAGGAGCAGGAGGACCCCCGGGGGAGGGGAGGGGGGCCGGGAGCGTCTCGTACCTGGGCTGCCCCTGTCACTGCTGCCGGATCCAAACTCGGTCGACTGCAGCTGCGGAAGGAGAGGAGCAGAGCCGCGTCAAGGCAGGTTGCTCTCCCGCCTCCCGCCAGGCTGGCGACAAGGCACCAGCAGCCACCAAGACGCGGCTCTCCCTGCAGGGCTGGAGCCTGAGGCCCACCCGCCGGGCCCCGGGGACGGGGACGGGGGCGGGCGTGGTGGGACAGGCGCCCCCACAGGCCTGCTCAACGCAAACCTGGCCAGAGGAATCGGGGCGGGAGGGACGGACGGCTGAAGCCAGGGGGGGTTGGCAGCGGTGGGAGCCCCCGCCCAGCACCCACCTGCTCTGACCCTCCCCTGCCCCATCTCTGGGCAGCCAAGGGCAAGAACAGCCCGGGGGGAGGGGGGAACCCAGGAAGGCCCTCCCCCGCTTCCTTGCCTGCCTTCCCCGGGGGTCTCCGCTTACCCGGGCAAGCGTGTGTCTCCCAGAGGCCTGGAGCGATGCCGATTTGGTGCTTCCGCCATGCGAAGCTGGAAGGAAGAGAAGCAGCCGGTCCCTGCAGGGCCCTGCTCGGGGGGGGGGGCTGCTCAGGGGGCGGCTCAGGAGCGCCTTTGGCTGCCACAGGGGAGGAGATCTGGCCCTGGGACTCTCCAAGACTTGTGGACTTCAACTCCCAGGACTCTCAGCAAAGCTGGCCGAGGAATTCTGGGAGTTGAAGTCCACAAGTCTTAAAGGGGCCCCGGTTGGAGAGCCCCGCTCTCAGGAGCGGCCCCAGAACAGGAAAAGGCCCAAACGCTTCTGTGGTTAATTCCCAAACTGGGTGGCCTGGACTGGGATTGGAGGCTTTCCCAAACTCAAACTGCCCAGCATTTCTAGCCTCTTTGGGGAATGGAAGGAATCCCGGCTGCAGCGCAGACTTTTCCCGCCGTCCGGTCCTGAAGGCGAGACTGGCTGCTCCTCTCGTGCGAAGGGCAGGGAGGCAGCCGGGTCCACGGGCGGCCAGGGCTGAAATGCCAATCCATGGCGGGGGCAGCAGCTGCCGTCTCCAAACCCTTCCTGGGCATCTGCCAGCCTGAATGCCGAAGGGCAGCCTCGCCCTCCAGGACAGCTGCCCGCTCGGCCCTCTCTAGCCCAATGGAGAGGCAGCCTTTACAACAAGGCGGTCCTTGCAAGGCCGCGTAGCTGCACGGAAAGGCCAGGCCAGGCCAGATGGGTGGAAGGCCCTCTCCAGGGCACTGGGCACTCCAGGAGCCCCAGGAGGGGAGGGGATGGTTCGGCAGGGACTTGGAGGCAGGACCGGAAGCCGATTCCTCTGGCCCTCCGGAGGACTCTCCCCCTCGTCGGAGCTCAGGGGGGCTCTGGAGGGGGCCCCCATCTGTCGGGGCAGCTTCCTGCTCTGCGGGGGAGGGGGAGATCAGATCCTCTCCAAAGTCCCTTCCCCCCCTTACATTAAATCCGAGGGGTCTCTGCAGACAGCCCCCCCCCCCGCCCCCCCCCAGCCGCAAAAAGGGGGGGGGCGGGGGGCATGACTCACGGGCGTGGAAGGGAGTCCGGTCTGGCAGGGAGCGCGTCTTCCTCCGGACTGGGAGCGATTTCTCCATCTCCTCCTTCAGGATGAGCCTGCCCAGGTTGGAGGCCACCTACGGGGGGGGGGGGAAGGACGGGGGCTGGAAGGGGCCCGCGCCTGACCCCCCCCCCCCCCCCCCCCCCCCCCCCAGCGCTTCCCGCTACCTTG